AAAAATACTATGAAATGATAAATATTCTGAAAAATCAGCCTTTTTCTTTCAAAAACTGGACATTGGGTTTTTCTCGAGAATTTGGGTTGTGACAAATTATGCAGCTGAGTTTCCTGTCTGCAGTGAGGTGTCATGCCATGCTGTATCACAAGGGTGACAAGATTTACTGAAGTTTGCCAAATAAATGCCCCAGTACGATAGCATACATGCAATACAAGGTGAATTTGATGGTTTACAGTAAATAACAACTTCAGGGCAATACAGTCATGAGAAGAAAATAAATGGAGGCTTGTTTTCTTATTCAGTGAGCTTTGTCCAGCCTGTGTGAGGTGGATTAGGTTCTGTTGAAGAACTTTTGAGTTTATATACTGAAAGGCTACAGGAGAATGCATAGACACAGAAGGTCCTTAACTCTTATGTGCAAAATCTTAATCTTAATGCTTGCTAACTTGTGTGCTTGAATATAGCATACATGTAATTTAAATTAAAATTACAATGTCAAAGCAGAGCAGCATGAGAGCGAGATCATTGACCTGCTTTATTTACTGAGTGCATAGCAATATTTTAGATGCTATGAAAGGAAATAAGCTAAAGGGAGTTTAGTATGCCCTTTTTTATTGCTTTATTGCAGTGTTGCAGTGCAGGCTCTTCAGGTTATGGTGTTACTTTATCAGGAGGAGGGAGGAGTACATTACATAAAATCTGATTGTGTGTGTGTGGCATTATATGAGCACCATAGTGGTCATATGGTGAACGCCCTTATAAACTTCACTTGAAATTAGAAGAGCCATTCTACGTGAAAAAGTTCTTCTTCCAAGTGCTATATTCCTTTCCCATCTGGAGGCTTTAGGAACATAATGTGATTATACAAATAAAATTTTAAAAGTGAAGCAAATCCCTTTGCAAATGATGTAAGATTTCAACACATGACTCTTGATTTATGTGATGAGATATAATCGATTCCCTTGTGTTGTTATTAGAAAACAATATGTGAGTGAATTTCTTAGCAAAGTTTGTAGCAAGTTTTATAATGGTATCCAACTTTGCCATATTTACCTACGTTGTTTGCATGCAATAGTCTCTCTCTTTGAAGCTGCACTCAATGTTACTCACTTTCTTTCTGTGTCTGAATGTCTAATTCTCCAAAAAGAAGAGTAAAGTATGTCTCTACCAGTGGATTGCTAACTGTTTTCATGGACGAGGTGAAACAGAAATTGTTCTACAGACAGCATTTTGAAGGCAAAAATTGAGTCCTCAAAATAAATGCAAAGAAATGCCAAGGATGTTGATCATAGCTGGTCTCGGTTACAAATTCCTCTTGGTCAGGCCAGAATGCTCTGAAGTGTTTAATGTCATTCTCTTGGTAAATGGGTGCACTGAGTGAGCCAACCTCAACTCCCTGCTTGAAACTTCTATTCCTTTAAAGCTAAAGGAAATACATGAAATTTAGTGTTGTGCTAAAACTCGTGGGGATCCCTTACACAGGGAAACCAGATATGCATTTAAGAGAAACAAATCTAGTACTGAGGGCCATTCGCATCCTTTTCGCTGCTTCCAGGTTAGCGTTTTAAAGGCCAGACAAAACAAAGCTGAGTTGTAGTTATGAGTTTCAGTCTGTTGAAGAAAACCCCTAGATTTGGAGTATTTTAAACTACGGATGAATGTCTGTGTCAGCTGTGGTCAGTGTGAAATGGAATGAAATACTGTCCTAACGTTCACGCTCTGCTCAGAAAACAGGAAGCTGGTGATTTAAAGCTACTCTGGCTCCTGTTATTTGAGACAGTGGGTGCAGATCAGCTCATTGATTCACTTCTCTGCTGGTTCCATGTCTGACCTTTTGAAGAGATGCAGTTCCAGCTCAATTCTTGTGTGATCTAATCCACCCCCACCCTCCCAATCACCTAAGCACGCTCTAGCATTGCTCTGCTCGGATTCTAATTCCTAAACACGTTATGCTCTTGAAACGGAGTTTATGGTCAGTTAAGATCCTGTGCTGCCTGCTTCTTTTACAGGTGACTGTCGTACTGAGAACATGGAGGGGGGGAAAAAGGATTGGCTTGAATGTGTTCTTCACATTTACTTTTCTTCTGTCCTCTGATATGCCTATGGGAGCTTTAGATACAAGAACAAACACTGTGAATGTAAGGAGAAAAACTGTTTATATTTAGAGCAAATATAGATGAGCTGATTAAATCATCTGCAGGGCACTGGATGAGTGAGCATGAAGTGCTGATTTTCACCAGGTTGAGTAATAGTGAATGAAAGAAGGAAGGATTTTATTCAAGCCTTCAAAAGTACAGCCTTGAAAGCGGAGAGGGAGGTGGAGGCAAACGCTAAATCGTTTCTCTCCAGTTCATCTAGATAGGTAGTGCTATCTAGGAGGTTTTGCTAGAGGGATAATGAATATATATTTGAGTACAAAAAAGCTTGAAACTAAAATCCTAGTGAGTATTTAGAATGGCCTTTTAAGTCTGTTCCGACATTAGCTGAGATCTTACTAAGCTATTTTGGTCCAGGCTTTTCAGTTGAGGGTTTTTCCCTTGCATGAACATCCATCTTGATCTCCTTTCTCTTAATATTCCGTGGATTCTCCAGGAATCCACAGGCATTGATGTGGCATTTGATTTGAAAAATGTTGCAATAATAACTTTAATCTGAAAAAGGGCGTTTCTTTTGGGTTTGGTTTGGAGCCAGAGATCCAGGGAACCCAAATAATATTTGTAGTGGTGCAGCTCAGCCATTGTTATTTTTATAATTATGATTTCAATAACAAACATAGGATTTTTTTTTTGTTTTCCAGAAGCCATGAAGCTGATAGACCGTTTGTTTGTTTCTCTCTTTTTAATCATCTTTCTGCATATTGCCTGGGACCGTTTTTTGCTGACTTACTCGGAGAGCTCTTGATATGCTAGTTAATGAAGATTTTAGTTCAGACAATAGACTTTTTCATCCACTCTGCTCTTGACCCAGGTTTCTGCAATTTGTTCTCATCTGAGTTTCTCTTCTGTGTTTCTTCTCACTCCACCAGTCTTCTCTTAGTCTTGCTTAATTTGGTGATGCTGGGAATAGGCGTCTGAAGATTTGTCTGAAACCAAGGGTGATGTCCTTGTACAGGGCAGCAGACTTCATAGAAAAGGTGAAAAGCAAGTTTTGTTTCTACTTATGTATTGCATCCAAGATGCAGGAAAAAGGCTGCTATTTTCAGCACTATCCTGTGAGTAAATAATTTTGTGATTAAAATTTAAGGTGGTTAACTTCTCCAGACTGTTCCAAGTCATTGAACCTAACGGGTGTGCTCTGAGCTGTGTGACATCCTGAGGATGAAGCCTGGATCTGCCGAGTCCAATCCTGTGGTCTGGGGTTCTGTTCATTGGTCCTTGCGTATTTTGATTTCTTACTTTCAGGAAGATAAGTGAGGTGGGCCAGGATTAGAAGATGGGCTGCTAAGGGACATGCAGTGGTTGGAGATTTGATTTGAGAACAGTTCCAGCTCAGTGAGACAGATGCTAATGGCTTGAATGCTGATAATTGTACAGTAGCATTTTACATGACATTTTTTGATAGCTATAGAATTGATACTAAGAAAAGGGAGCAAAGAACTGAGAGCGAGATCTGTTCTAGCCATGTTGTCATTCTGCCTGCAGAATGCCATATATATATGTATATATAATCTATTGTATATTGATAATGAAATTTTTTTCTGGAACAGGACATTCCCATGGAGAGTTCAGTTCTTGGATCTAAGTTTTGACGTTTCAGCCTTTCAAAAATGTTTTGTGTGTAACTTTTCTGTACTAGTGTATAATTTCTAAGTACTTGGACTCTTGTCCAAATACTTAATACTTATTTAGGAGATAATGTCTTTTATTGCTAAAGATATAATTTCAGTATTAAAAGCTATCTAATGTCAAGACTTCAAGCAGAGTAGTTACCTGTCCAGGGATCGAGCGTGAGCATGAATGTAACAGGTGACATCGAATTTGTTATCAGAAAAAACATTTGGTTATACACAGACAGGGGATGGGAGGAATCTTATTAAATAATGATTTGCAGAACTGAAAGAAAAGCCAAAATGAAGCCTTGTTAAACTTAAGTCTGATTGGGATGAGACTAGTCTGATTATTAAAAGCTTATTTCATTGTGCACCTTGAGAACTCCTTTAAGTAATAAAATAGCAATCTCATTAAAGTGTCAAACCTTTATAGCATCTGGGAAGAGCTAAATAAATTTTAAGTAGAGGCCAGTGTTGCACTTTTCCTACAATAATCCTAGCGGGTGGAACCCTGCATGTTAGTCACAGTAATGCTAGCCATATATTTGTGAACATTCGAATCTTCCCAGGAAAGCTTTCAAGGGCTTCATGTATATATGTGCATATATATATATATATATATACACACACATTTATGTATATATGGTATGTTACAGACTAGGAGGTGGTAGGGGTTTTTATTTCTAATTCTTTTGCAGCAATGGTTTACAAGATTTCATTGTGCTTGGTGTTGTACAAATGAAATTATTTTTTTGTTTGGGTTTTTTTTGCTCTGAACATCTTACAGTTGAATTCAACCAAGTCAAAGTAGTCATAGAAGGGGTGGAAATACAGTCACGGTAAGTGAATGGATGGATATTGTAGTGCATCACTTGGGGTGGTGCGGGTGCTTAGAGGGAGTACATTAAGCTATTCCATGGTGTGGGCATGGGTGATTTGCAGGCAGTGTGTAGGTATTGCAGCACAGATGATGCAAGTAACATAACTGTGGCCATGAGAATCTTCAGTCTTGTGAACAGAAGCAGAATAAGCCAAGAGGCTCAAACCTGTGGTATTTTTAAGTGATGGGCTGTGTTCTCAGCCTCTCAACTTTCTGCTTTTTGAATCTTCTAGAAGGTCAATCATCTTCCAAGGGCTCAGGGTGTGATATGTGGTTTTGTGCTTGAGATGCTCTTGTGTGCCATTAATTGCCTTTGTGGTTTTTTTTTTCTTTCTATTTCATCAACAGGTGACAAAGAAAGTCAAGTCCATGCAGATGTTCCATACTCCTGTGAATTATGCTATGCAGGGTGACAGAGTAGGTATCTGTGTAACCCAGTTTGATCCCAAACTGTTAGAACGAGGCCTGATTTGCACCCCAGAATCACTTCATACCATCCATGCTGCAATAATTTCCCTGAAGAAAATCCAATATTTTCGAGGAGCTCTTCAGACCAAGGCCAAGTTTCATATCACAGTAGGTCATGAAACAGTTATGGGAAGAGTGATGTTTTTCAGTCCAGCTCCTGCTGACTTCAATGAAGAAATTGAAGAAAATGTTTTTGATTTTGAAAAAGATTATCTTTATCAGGAGGAATATTTGTCCAAGGACTCAGATTCTTCAGAGGAGAACAAAAAAAAAGACCAAGCAGAAGTCCAGCTCCCGAGACAGCAGTGGGCTTTGCTGGAGTTTGAGAAACCAGTCACTTGTCCTAAACTGTGCCTTGTGATCGGTTCCAAGCTGGATACAGATATTCACGCAAATACCTGCAGGTTAGCATTCCATGGGGTACTGCTCCAAGGCATGGAAGACAAGAACTACACAGAGACTTTCCTTCCAAAGTTGAAAGTGTACAAACTGAAGCACAAAGAAGGACAAGTGGAAAGGGTAAGCTGTACATGGGAAGGGGAAATACCAGTTCCACGTAAGTACGTATATTGATGACCTACAGAATTTTCACTGTTCCAAAGTCTTTATACGTATTTTTGTTGTATTTATATACTTTGTATACTTGGCTACTTGCAAGCAGTCAGAAGTCACCACTTTAAAAGTGACTAGTTTATTCAGTTCAATGCAGTGTTTAGTAAATTGATGCTGTTTTTTCACTGGTCCTTTTGATGTTCAGCCGTTCTGTTCTTCCTGCAAATTTGCTTTATTTGTGCACCTTCCCGCGTGGCTTATATGTTCTCTTCCCAGTTGATAAAACTTCCACTGATGTATTTTACACAGTTGTTCTGCAGTACACTGAAGAATATAGAGAAGGTGTAAACCAGCTAGAAAGTAGCATTATATTAAGTAACACAAAATTATTCTTGTATAGATTTTCACGTTTTCTTTAATATGAACTTTAGTTATTAACATTTATTTTAGTAGGCAAACCCAATCTCCTACAAGATGCCTTAGCTAAAGCATGCTGAAATTGGAATCAAGCTTGTGACATGGAGAACCTGGACCTTGATTAACGTATGCTGTTTCCATGTTGGGCAGGTGTTAATCTGCCGCAGTCTATGTACTTGGCTCATCTCACTGTGGCAGAAAATTGAGGTGCTAACTAGCATCTACAGTAAAAATTAATTGGGATTTTTTTTTTTACTGTCTCTTTAGTATGGATAAAGACACTGTGTAGTGGTTGGTATTATCACATTGCTGTCAAAAGGTTTATCTTAGCGGTGGTTACTTTTCAGTAATCGGTGGAGACCCATTTATTTTTACATCCCATAGTGGAATTTTTCATGGTGAATGGTTTAGGTGGAGATGTAATATGTAAATCATTTCATTGCTTACCTCTAAGTGAGCTAAGTTGATGGGAACTTTAGTAAGTGTTAGATCGATGTATTAGTGCAGTAGGTATTTCATTAAATTTTGGGTGAAGAACTATTAATTTATGTTTTCCTAATCTAAACCCTAATTGGTTGAATGAAATATTTAGTGTGAGTGGTTTTTCCAAATTCTGTAAAGCTGTGTTGAGTGCTGTGTAGCATCTCTACTTACTTTACTAGAGGAGACTAAACACTTAACATACTTTACTGTATTTGCAATTTATAATGCAGACTTCTCAAATGCTTTTTTTGTTTGTTTGCTTTACTAATTTAATAGTGAAAAATTAACCAAGAGCCCTGTCAGGGTGTGATTTTGAATTAGTGAGGTTCTCTTGTAAACGCACCCACCCCTACATAAATCAAACAGGCAATTAATATTTTCCCCATTTCTCTGAGGTTTTGATGTTGCGAGGTGTTTGGAGTTTTTTGTTTGTCTGTGTAAAAAAGTTAGGGTTTCTCCCTTGAATTTCCACTACTGACTTAGGAGGCTGATCAGTTCGAAGGAACTACAGGTGGTGTGCCGTGGGTTTTGTGGGTGCCAGTTTTGCCACTAGGAAGGAGGGCAGTTAGGAGGAGGGTATCTGTAGCTTTGTGAAGGTTTTGTCTGTATTAATATGGGTTATATGGGACACCCAAACCAGCAGTCACTCTTCAGAGTCTTGGTAGCAGACGTATTATTTCCTTTGTTTGAATTGGCCTTTCTCTTTGCCTTATAGCGATGTTGAAGTGAAACAGCTCTGAAGTGTTGTACAGAAGCTCTAGACCAAAAGCAAGTGTCTGGATGCTAATTCTTCTGGTGCTCTAGAACTTGTGTAATATTTGCCTTTATCTTTGCTAGAAATGTACTCACTCGTGCATGACCCTTGCTGCTAATATCCAGCAGGATCTGCCTTACTGACTCCTTTTGTTTCTCTGTAGCTGTAGGAATATGAATGAGACCAGAAGTTTGTGTGATGGATGGAGACAGATGCTGTTTGTGTTTTGTTTAACTGAAACAAACTGGTCTTGGTTTCTTTATTTTTTCCCTCAATGCGTGGCACTAGTCTGTGGGAGTTGAAAACTTGCAGCGTACAGACTGTGTGCATGTAAGTTGTCTGAGTGTGTTAACGGAGTTTGCCGTGAGCCTTGGTCATACATTTTTAGTTGTTTTTTAAATCCTTTGCCAGTTTATATATTCTGCTATTTATTTTACTGTATAAATAATGGAATAACATTAATCAAATTACATGTTTTGTTTTCTGGTCCAGAAAATAACCAATGAATGTGGTTTATTTAATATTTGACCAACAGAGTAACTTATTAGGCTGATACATTAGTGAGCTGTTTTGATATCTTTCAGTGCCTTTTAAAATGCAGAGCTGGAGGCTTTATTATTTTATCCTATTTTCATCTATCATGCAGTGTGCCATATATATATATATGGGCCCTGATCACTGTCTGTATGAATACTAATTGGCCCTGTAAATGAACAGTTGCCATTGAATGAACAGTAGCCATTGTCTGCAGGTAAGGTTTGTTCTTGGGTTCTGCCTCCTGCAGTACTGTAGGTACTCAGAGTTTAGTGTAAATACGTCAATTTCCCTGAGAAGTTCTGAAAGGATAGTGGAGCAGATGTCGAAAGAAACATTCATGGTGTAAAGTCACGGGGACACACGGGGAGTTTGGGAGAGTTGGTGGGAAGAGGACTGTGCCAGTTACGAAGGGCCTGCTGGGGAGTACGTACAGCGCTGGTTGAGGTGGCTACTGTTCAGTCTGTGCTTTTGCAGAGCAGAGAGCAGCCAGGAACGACTGGGTGGTACGGTGGCTTATTTTAGTACACAAAGTCGCTTGCTAATAGAAAATGTGAATCAGCTGGTCCCACCCTGCTGCTGATGGATGGCTGGAGATTAGGATCGCTGAACTTAGGGTGTCTATTCTTGGCACCGATACAGGAAAATTTCATTCTCTGTTGAGTAAGGAAGCTTCCCCTCCTTACCTTCCCTGGGGATGCATAAAAAATAATAATAATTAAAAAAATACATGTTACCTTGACGAGAAAGTGAACTTTTCCTCCAGAGAATACTGCCAGGGAAAATTAGCTTCATAGCTTCCTGAAAGGCTGGGAGAGAGGGAGACGGGGGCATGTAATGTCCACCTTCCCAGGTTCAGCACGAGGTGGAAACATGCGCCCAGAGCTTTGTTGTCGTGGAATTCAGAAGCACCTGTTTGTAAAATGCTGCAGTCAAACTGATGTGGGCTCTCCCAGGCTCCCGCACTTGCTGCTAGAATTTAAATAAATTCCCAGCAGTTTAACTACCAGTTTACCCAGGAGAAATCAGGCTTTTATGGTTTGGCTTTTTGTTCCTATTCTGATTAATTTCAGAGCACTGATGGAATAGTAAGAACTATGAATTCATTATGTTTCAGCATCACAGTACTTCTGGTTTGTGCTTCTTGTGCATGGCACGCTCCTGGATTTCAAGGTTTGATTTTTTTTGTTTATTTCTTGTTTGTTTGAGTTTTTTAATAGAAGAGCAACATTTACTCTCAAAGATATTTTTGGTTCTCTTAAGAGCAAGTGTGACATTTTTGCTGTTTCACATGGAAATTAAATCCACAAACTGGGTACTTTTTTAAAGCAAAAATTCATACTTAAACTAGCCAGATGGTCTTGAATTAGTACATTTTAGTGCAAATTCACACATAAGCTTCTTGGCTTTTCTTATCTGCTCAAGTGGTGGCAGATGTTCTGCAACAATACCCTTGTGCTTCTTTTTGGTACCACTCACTGTTTTCTTAAGGTATCTTGCCTCAGTAATGCTGAGATGGAGTGGAGCACTGGAGAGAGAGAAGTAGAGCCTGACTACTGTTGTTCACCAGGATCTTCAAATTTACCTGTTTACAGCATATCCTTGAGCCTATTTTTTCACATCTTTGCTTATTTATCTACTGATTTTTTTTTAATAATTTGTTTTTAGATATTTATTACCGTAGCATCTGAGAAATTTGGCTTTTAAACATTTATCATGGGATGTTGAAGTCTAATGTTGTTTGGGGTACTGTATAGTGCAGGAAACTTGCTTCTAACTGTGCTGAGGTTTCATCTTGGTTATGAAAAAGTTGCATGATTCAAACTGCAGTTATGATTTTTATCTGATATTTTTGAGATGTTGTAGAAGTGTGTGAATGCTTCTGGTTGGCTTTAGACCAGATTTGTTCTGCGATTAGAATAAGCATTTAGGGGTTAGTTTTAAGGAAAATACAAACCTGCCATTCCATCAGAACTAAGGGGGCACTAGCAAAGGTTTGTGTTCACTTACTAGTCCAGTTTTCTCTTGCAGAGAAGACTTGAGTGAGGGGAGAATTTCAGTGGAGGGAAGTTCCTGTCAAGAGCATCTTTCTGGCTTGATTATGTGGAGGCAGAGACCGTTGCCCTCTGGAGACTTGGCTGTCTGACAAATGTACTTTCGGTAGGGGAAAGAGCTAGGCTGGCAGCAAGTGGCTTGTACTGATAAACCGGTAAAAAGCAAGGCTGAGAGTGCTATTGTGATCATCAGTGTCACTTTAAGGAGCGTGGTGTGGGAAACTTGGTGGAAAAAGGGCAAACGAGATACTGTGAAGAAAGTCTGTCCATCTGTATTGACACACAGCACTGGCTGGGTTTTGCGAAACTGCAGCAGATCAGCAGCCCCTGGAGTCGGAGACAAGCAAATTGTGCAGGTGAACGGCACCTGTTATCCTTGTGCTTCTAGAGACAGACTGCTCACCAGTCAGCTGGGCAAAGAGAACTTGAATTAATTCTAAACCCATCTCTGGAATATCTTCCTCTCTGGATTGTACCTCTCCATGGCACTGCAGAGTCTGACTCATGAGGCAGCTGCTCAGTTCCTGGGATAAATCCTTTGTATTTGTCAGCTTATTTGCTCTTTGGCTTCCATGGACATACAGGTTGAGTGCAGAGAGTTTAAACTGAAAGGTGAACTGTAGAAGTGCATCATGCTTTCCTGCATGACTCAGATATTCTGCCTGTTTTGAAAGTGTTTGCACAAGCAGGATTTATCTTGGGATGGTTGCCACAGGGTCCTATTG